CTGATATTTTTATCTCTATCCTCCTGAAGTCTGCATCTGTCTCTGAATTGGCTTTCAAAGTCAGATCAGGAATGAGGGTATCATCCATGGGCACACCAAAACTCCAACATCTAACGCCATCCCCTTCCTGTTATCCAGGCAACCTTGAACCCTATTAATTTAGAAGATTAAAGCATTCAGACAGGATCCTCCCCAAACGTCTTCCCTATCACTGTGTATTTGCCATTCTACAACCTCCTCTACATTCGAGGAACCCTGCACTTCCTTCTCTCAGTTTCTCTAGTTACTATCTTGTCCTCTTCTCGGTAGGTCTCCATTACCAGCCACTTCTCTTTCTGGTCACATGGGAAGAGGATGCCAAATAAAAATATTTAAAAGCCACAGATTGCTGATTTCCCATCAACCCTGCAGGAAATCCAAGACATTAATCCAGGATGGGGCATGATGTCTCATGCCTGTAATCCCAACACTTTGGGAGGCTAAGGCAGGAGGACTGGTTGAGGCCAGAGGTCCAGACCAGCCTGAGCAACATAGTGAGATCCTGTATCTACAAATAATACAAACATTAGCTGGGTGTGGTGGTGCATGCCTGTAGTCTCAGCTACTCAGGAGGCTGAGGCAGGAAATTCACTTGAGCCCAGAAATTTGAGGCTGCAGTGAGCTATGATCGTGTCACTGTACTCCAGCCTGGGCAACAAAGCAGTACCCTGTCTCTAGAATTAGAACAAAACAAAACACTTCAATCCATATCCACAAATTTGACAAGAAACCACTTAATCCAGAAGTTATGGGGCAATCAGAAATGCTATTATAGGTTTGGCTTATCTAAGACCCATAGCTTTTTAAGTACAAGGCTAACTAGGTTTAAAATTTATGACTTATGAGTTATATCCTGCATATTGTGAAATGACAGACATTAATATGTAAATGAAAGTAGGAGATATAAAAAAAGCAATGAAGAGGCAATGTGCCCCACGTATTTCAAAATCCTACAGTAATATACTTTTATAATTTAAGTTTGGTGTTAAGCTTCCTTGAATCCATGGAAAAAGGAAAACATGCTGGATAACATAATTCTCATTGTTTGAGGAAAGGAAGTTTGATCTCTGACAAAATTTTGTCAGGAAAGATTCTTTCTAGCCCAATTGCTCTTGAACTGTGAACCTATGATAATGGATGCTGAACCACAAAGAGAACTTCTGCTCCATAGTGGACTTGCAGAAGACACAGATAGCCTCAAATCTCCCAATGATGAGGACTCATGTTGCCAAATATTCTCCTGGCATGATGAGGACGGAACACTTGGGTAGACAAGGTCTACCTTGGCCAGGCTGCCAGAAATTGACCAGACATGGTGGCCAGCCCATGCCTGCAATGCCAGCACTTTGGGAGGCTGAGGCAGGAGGATAGCTTGAGCCCAGGAGTTTGAGACCAGCCTGTGCAACAGAGTGAGACCCTGTTTCTACAAATAATAAAAAAGAAGCTGTCTATAAAATGTTCTTATCCCACCAGCCCTTGGCTCTTTGATGTTATCTTTTTGAGCAGAGATGGTGCCAACACCAACACTTGTAATCTTCCTGACCATTACAGGTGGCCTAATACTTTGGTCTTGAGTCTGCTCCTACTTCCTTATAGTAAAACCAATGCCTTGAACCCAGAAGGAGCGCAGTTGGTTTCCTTTTTGATATTCCAGGAGGGAACTCATTGAGGATGGGATAGAAATTTATATTCAAATCAGGAGACAAACTTTTGAGTCATTCATTCATTCAGAAAAATCCTGAGGCTGAAGCAGGATTGCTGAGGCCAGGAGTTTGAGACTTGCCTGGGCAACAGAGTGAGACTTCCTCTCTACTAAAAAAAAAAAAAAAAAAA